ACCTCTAACATTCCCAGAGAATTCCCAATCCAAGAGTTGTGACAGGGGTTTAGAAACAATTACTTGGAGGATGAAATACTTTTCCCATCTCATAACATTGCATAAAAAAAGTTGATTTTTTTTTTTCTCTTTTTTTTTTGGAGTGGGGAATCCCAATGAGATCTGTAGAACCAAACGTAAATTTAAGAGTTTGGAGAGGCATGCAAAGCTGCAGTGCTGAACTGAAGGTTTGTGGAGGGCTTCTGACTTGAACCAGGAAGGAAATTTCCTCTTCTTTCTCAGATTCTGAAGCGAATCAGTGCAATTTAAGGTCTCTTAATTTTAGATTTGCCTAGCATTTTAGTCGTTTGGTTATCTGAGGAATGGAAAAGGACATTTTTCATGTTTCAGATGAAAAATAGTAACTTCTTATTTAGAAGGAAGCATCTGACATAGGAATTGAGATGCTTGGATTGTCATATTTATTGAGCTATTTTGGGAAGCAGCATTTTTAAAATGAAAAACCCAACAACCAAACAAAAAATCAACAAAACAAACCTGAGCTATAAGGTTGCTTTTGTCTGCAGGAGTAGTTGGGGCTAGTGGAGAATGTGCTTTAAAATAAAACCATAAACGCCCCAAAACACCAAAACCAGCTTTAAAGAGAAGCAGCAATAGCTGTGGTTTTAGAGTTGCTCCACTTTTCTTGTTGTTTCTGAATTATGTTGGAGCAGGCAATCCTTCTGACCTTCAAGAATGGGGTGAGAGCTCAGGATTCTGTGACCAGATTGACTGCAGCCTAAACATGTGTCCTTTGATAGGTTGTAGCCTCTTTGTTGTCATTTTTGTGCAGCAGCTTCTTCTCTCAGATGGGTTAGTGATTATGTTGCACAGGTATTGTGAGGTTTAATTTAAAGTCTTTACTCCCTGAATGCAAAGTTGTATAGTGTCATAAATTAGATTCTTGTTTGATTAAGAATAAACTTATGCAAATGACATTTAAGAGTAACTCTCCCCAGGTATGTTCCTTTAGTTCTGTGTTAAATATTAAATTATATTTATATGGTGAACATCAATTAAAGCTTTGCAGCCTACACAGACAGAGTCATTAAAACTAACCTCCTGCTTGGGAAATATAAAATTAAATTCCTTTAGAAAGTGTTCTAAAGGGTTTAAAGCTGCAATAAATTTTTCTGTTCATAGTTGTACCAGTGGTGTCCCTGGTTCCAAGAGAAACCTGCCATGCATCACCTCAGTTTAAATACCCAGCATTAGCCCTGAACAGCAGCTCTGACACCTCCTCTGTCCTCTTTGACACGCCTTGCACCAAACCCCCTTGTAAGCAGGGCTGTCCCCTCATTGTTCTTTTTTTTTTCTCTTATTATTATTGTTATTATTATGTGTCTTGGGTTACTGTCTAGAGGAAAACGCTCAATATAGGCTTGTGCTGAGGAGCTAGGTGAGCATTGCCTAATTCTGAACAGTGCTCCAGCTGTAAGTAGGACTGGCCTCTGTGCAGAAGTTGGTGCTTAAGACAAGGCATTTCCAATAAGCTTAGAGGAGCCCGTGCAAAAGGCTTTGTGCAGGTTCCTGCTGCTGTTTGCAGTACATCTTATTTTCTGTTGGCTACAGCCACATAGGAACAGGTTTCAGATATACTGAAACAAACTTTAAGTGGGTATATAAAGAGGCTTTGTGTTGACTTCAAGGCACTTCTGAGACTTTGCACTGGTCGTTCTTCACAAGCAGTCGACATTGGCCAGAGCAACCAGGGAAGTCTGGCTCCGAGTGAATCCCACCAGGAGATGGCAGCATTGATGTATGCAAGGAGCATCCAAAAGTTAAAACAAGTTTCTCTGAGCTGACAGAGGAAAATAATTACCTTAATTTCATTGGAAGATACACTGTCTTAGCAATACATAGATAATTGTTAACAGAGTAGTCTTATTTTTTTAGCCTTTGTCCCTAACGGCTAATGCAAGTCAGTAAATTAAAAATGCACTTAGGAGTACTGGAGTCACCCCTGGATCTGGTAATGATTTAAGGCAAGGGTTTTGAAATTCTGGACTCTTTTGATCAGAAGCTAAAAGATAATAGATGCTAATATGTTCATTACTGTATACTTGCTCTGTAAACTAACAATAGCTTTGCTTGTAGCTACAAAACTGGGTTAAGTTAAAGCTTAATCCTAAAAATCCTTGAGCCTTTTGTTTCAGTGCTATTGCCTTCCATTCTCTTATGTATACCATAGGTGCTTTGACATGGGGGAGAGAGTCTGAAAACAGAATTGTATTGCCTGAGCTGGTCAATAAGGAAGAAGATTATAGGGCAGCACCCATTTTCACCCTGAACTTGGTCTTGTAGCATCTTGATTCTTTCTGCTCCCATCAAAAGATGGGAATAACTCCTGGCTTCAGAGCTTGCTTGGGAAAATGAACGTGACCCCTATCAACAGGGTGCTATTGTCTGATGCCTGAATGTTGGCCGAGGTGGCCAAGGGCCCACTGCTGTCCCCTCTGTGTGGCTGGCTGTGCAGATGTTTGACAGAGGGCTGATTTGTCACGGGGTCATCCCCAGAACCCGTCGGATGCGCTGGGAACGGCCTGAGTCTGGCAGGCTGTATTGTGGCCTTCTGCAGCAAGCAACAGGCTACATCTGTGTGAACAGCCAAGAGATGAAAAAGGAACTTCTTCAGGGATCTTGGGGATTAAGGAGGTGAATGGGCTCCCACCACATGAGGTCACATCTTTGTCTGTCTTCCATGTCTATTTATGTAGTAGCTGATGCAGGTAGAAGCCTATACATGGACAGCTGCTGTGGAGCAGCTACATGAGTAGCTTTCACCCCTGCTTGTGCAATTTCCTTACAGCTTTCAGAGATCTGAAAAATTAAGTATGAAATCTCTTGGTGCAGTGTTACCATACTGATGCTGCTTGAACATATTTAGCTAAGAAAGCAGACTGTGGAGATGTGCCTTGTGTTCTTTTAACTTGGGCAGCATTACCTGGAAGGTGCTGCAGGGACCAAGATCTGAGCATAACAGATTTGAGGTTTTTTTGCACCCGTCTGTCCCAGGTTGTTGCGGGTTTTTTTTAGCCCTGTGGGCTAATAAGATACATGTGAACTTAGTCTTGCCTACTTCCCTTTAGAGACCTGTGTTTGACATCAAAAGGCTGCTGGGATTGTTCTTGATGGCAAGGTGCACATGTAGGAACGAATAAAGGTAACACCTTGCAAGTTGAGGTGCACGGAGAAAATGTCACCAGTCAGTCTGATGTTGGCAGTCGCAGCTCGTGGCTTTTCTAGTCCCAGCAGTGCCCTGTGGAGCCAATCTGACAGCACAGCCTGGGTGACACCAGCCTGCATTTCCTTTCATAACGGCACAATGTAATCACTGTTTTTGTTCTTGTGCAGCCACAGACTCCCTTGTAAGCGCAAATTCAAATGGGAGAAACATCAAAGTTAATTGGAAATGAAATACACCCCAAGTAGTCCAGGGGAAATGGAGACATTACTTTGTAGGCACCCTTCTCCTGCCAAAACTGCAGCACCCCAGATGTCAGGAAGCCACGCGGCGCTCTTTGTCTGCTCTTGATTGACTAGATTGTTTTCATCCGAGCCTTTTTAAAGCTTTCCTCCTGCCTCCATATTTTTAAGGAATAAAAAGCTAATATAAGGACATGGAGTGTTATGAAGCATGAAGTTCTATAAATATTTATGCTGAACTATCACAAAACTTGACAGTTCTTATTTTCTTGACAGATTGGGGTCACTTGTTATTTTTGACCCTGAGAATTGAAGAGCACATGGAGTTAGATCTGTTTGTAATGACTTTTGGATATTGTTGTCTGGTAAACTTCTAGGAATGGAACAGGATAACAGACTTTTTCTCGTTCTCTTTGTGAAAATGAAACTTAAACCCCATACTGTGTTACCCACAAATGACCACTCGAGTTACTGTCTCTGTCCAATCTGGAATGGATTCCTGAACTTTCTTTGGCACATGTGGGTTTCTGAGTTAGCAGCTTAGTTTGCTGCTTCAAATGGACAGCTTTCACCTAGGTTGCTCTTGATTTAAGTGTCTAGTTACCACCTTTACATCTAGGAATCATAGTGTGTTCCTGAACCCAGGACAGGATGGGATCAAGGAAGACTAAAAGTCTGGCAGAGGCCTATGTTGTCTCCAGTGTTTTGCCACTGGTCCCAGCACTGCTTTAAGTACCCTTGGGGCCAACTGAAGACACTCTTCTTGGAAGTTCAAGTGCTGATAAACCAGCATTTTCTAGAAATGAGGGGCTTGTAACTCTCTGACACTTCAGAATCCTTATTCCTCAAAATTATGTGCACACAAGCTTAGCTCCTACCTGAAGCTGAAGTGGCAGGTGAATATTTTAAAGCTAGGTCTGGCTTTTGCAGAAAAGCTGGAGCTTTGTGGTGACAGCCACATAATTACATCCAACTGTAAGGGCCTTTCTTGCCTAGGAAACTCATTGTGTAGGAAAGAATCAATCCAGTGTTTCACCTTGAGTGAAATCCAGTGTCTATCTTAAGGTAAACCTTGAATGTATTGTGTGCATCTAAAGCTTACTGGAATGTCTGTTGCTGTCAGTCACTAGAGGGCACAAAGGAACTACCTAGGAAAGAAGTTTGTTCTTGAAACCTGAATTTCCAGTTTAAATCTATGAAAGGGGGGAAAAAATTCCCGTGCCTGCCAAAACACAGGATGGCTTCAAAATTTTGGTTTCATCAGTGATTCTTCCCCACCTAAACCTACTTCTACTTTGGAAGTTAATAACTTCAAGGGTACTTCCATTGTTTTTGTTAGTACAATTCTGTGTTCAGAAAGCACATAGCAGTCAGGGCAAATAAGCTGCTCGTAAACAGCTTTTAAGTTCAACTCGTGTGATTGCAAAAATTATTTCCTCATTTCTCAGCTTTCTGTACTTGGAACGAACTCTAAATGTGTCTGAAGAGCAAGGCTGCAGAAGGAATTGCTCTCTGAAGGTGTGGTTCTTTTGCAGGTTGCATGCCTCATACGAGTTCCATCGGAGGTTGTCAAGCAACGGGCCCAGGTTTCTCCTTCCTCCAGTACCCTCCGGATCCTCTCCCACACCTTGTATCATGAGGTGAGTTCAGAGCAATATTTCAAAGAAGTTACTTCATTCTCCCCACTGAGTGTCAGAATCATTCCTGTCACTTCATTCCAGTTCCGTGCTCTCCCAGCACTTTCCCATCTATTCTTCTGTTGTTAAAAACGATTGGCATGTTGTGTTTAAACAAACCAAAGCCCCACCTCCCTGATGTGCATGCACTTACATGCACAATCTAAACAACTCTTTTTCCTCCTTTCTTAACATGACATACCTACATTTTTAAAAAGGGGAGTTAAAAAAAAAAAAAAAGACATCCCAGTTTCCAAAATTCTGCTTGTCTGGGACAACAGAACATTGAGTCTCTGTATCTAGAGTTTGATGAGTGGTTTCCAATTTTTGAAGCAGGCTTTGGATGGGATGTCCTAAAGGCACCATTTTAGAGAGGCTCTGAAGGAGCTCTAGTATTGGTAACTTCTGAAAAATAAGGGGTTTTGTCAACTGTGCAGCATTTACACTATTCCTTCCTGTAAAAACCTGTTCACCACTGTGCTTACTGAGTCTCACAAGGGGCATCTTTCAAGTTCTATTCCATAAGAGAAAGTAGCTCCTGAAAACACCATAGGGGGAAAATATTTTACACGTTTGTGTGTGTAAAAGCCAGGAAAAGGAAGACATAAATATGACCTTTAAATGATCCACTTGATTTTTATTTGCTTGTAAATGAAAACTATTGTGATAACCCTGCACAAGAGGGTTGCTGGAACTTCTGTCTGTAGCTTGTTTATTCTGCTCTAAAGATGGTGCTCACAAAACTGTATGTTTTTCCCCTTCTTTGTAGCTGGCCAGATAGCCATAAGACTTGCCAAACACTGGGATAAACTGCCCTATAAAATATTAAACTTAATTTTGTTTTAAAGTGTATATAAAATTTTCTTTGTTTTGAATGTTAACAGCTGGTTAAAAATATAAATTTGTCTTGATAAAAGCTCTGAATCAAGGCTAAGAAAGTGGACATAGGGCACTGTCATGTGTGGGTTCATTTTGTGTGGGCTATGTAAACAGAAGAGTTGTAGTTTCAAAATATTGATGGGTTAGTGGATACTTCCAGACCAAAATATTGGGCAAACAGAGTTTGAAGACATGTTTCTGTGCTTTCTTGCTCTTTTAATTTTAGCTGTAAGGTATATTTTCTTCTCTATAACTGATTATTCTGAACAGTGGTTAAATTATCTTTGAAATGAACATAAAACCCTCTGGCAGTGTAAATCATGGCGTATGGTCTGCTATAATCAATGTTGTCAATTTGCGAGAAGGTCAGGGCTGACACTCAGTAAGGCTGTGCTGCTTGCCTCATAATCACCGATAAATTGTGGTATTTGGCAAACTAATTCCTTCTAGCTGATGCTTTCTTCTGTTGGTTTACAGGGTATTCGAGGACTTTATCGGGGCTATAAAAGCACAGTATTAAGAGAGGTAAAAGACTTGTCTTTTTCTTTTAAAATATCTTTTTTAAAAATTGATTCCTTTGCCTCACTTTATTTTCTAACAAGAGATAGCAGTACAATCGTGATCAGTTGCTCTAACCATAAGCTCTAGATCCCAAGTCTTTCATTCTAAGTAAGTTACTCATCTGTAATTTAAATAGAATACTGATAATGTGTGCTAAGAAAACCTGTGATACACACCCAAAAGTTATCTACCATTCTGTCTCTCACTTCTGTTGCTAGGAAGTCATAAAAGGATGGAAATGGGTATGTTAATATGATGAAAACCATAAAGTAAAGTACTAGAAACTTCGTTAAGTCTTGTGATTGCATCATGTGAAGTATGTGTGTGCCAACAATGGTGAACTGCTGGCATCAGGCCAAGTTTGGCACAGACAGATTTAGGCTTTCTTTAAATATATTTGTCAGCAGATGCCAAGAGATTATCTGTCATCTGTATATAGGGAGGATTGTGCACTCTCTTTTTCTTTTTTTTTTGTAATGTATGAAAGAAATGCATTTAGTCATCTAGCCTGTAGATGTGATATGGCATTACTTAACTCTAAATCAGAAGTACTCCACTGTTGGGGAAAAAAATGGAGGTAAAAATATTTTGGCTTGTTTGGCCAAAAATAGTTCCTAAACTAAAATCTTTTCATAAATGTATTGTGAATTACAGAATTAGTGTCATGGCAGAGTTTGATATGCTGTGTGAACTGAAGGCAGATTATAAAGTTGTACAAAAACACACTGATGAACTCCTGGCCTAAAGCTGTTTCAGAAACTGGTCCCAGTCATCTTTGACAAAGCAGAAGCTGTACCATGAGTACCTCAAATAAAGAGATGAGGTTCAATTCCTATGAAAACATAACAGCTATTGTCTGGGAAAGGTTCTTTACTCACTGTGTTCAATGTGATATCTCTGGGTTTGTCCTCTCCTTATATAACTCAACTGAGTAAACTAGGTTTGGATCTTTGCCTCTTTTGTTTTTTAAACACAGAATCAGATCTGTTGGCCGTGTTGCCACTGATAATAAAGAAGGCAGTTGCAGAGGCTTTCAAAGCCTTCATTCAATAGCTCTGCTTTTAAAAGCTGTTCTTCATGCTGAAAACTGTTTTTAGGACAGTTATGTTAGCCAGCTCTTCTTACAGTTACAGAATAAAGATGAATATTACCTAAAATAAGAAATACCAGACTTAGTGTGGTAATGCACAGCAGTCTATTTTAGCAGTTTTGAGTGTTTAAAAAATTAGTTATTTGTGTGGAGATGGCACCTGCTTTTCTGAGATGTAACCCCCACCATAGCTTCATCCTGTACTTATTTTCTGGCTCACTAAACACATGTTATTCACTCGAATTTCATTTGGAGATGGGCAAAAAAGGCCAAGGAATGATTTTGATTTCTCTGAGGCATTCTGAATAAATGAATAAATTTAGATCCTATTGAATACAAATTTTGCATACTAACAGGTAGATAAAACACATGGTTACTACTGGGTGCCATTCTCCTTAAAATTTGTTTTGACATATGTCAGGGGGGTAATTAATTTGCAGACCATATTCATGGCATAGCGTGTGACCCTGCTGAGATAACTTTGTTTACTCAAAATGGCAGTGCTTTGTTGGAGATTTAATGGGGGTTATCTCCATTATGTATATTCATAAAAGATCCTTCAGAAGTGATTTTGGTTGAAGTATTGCTTTTTGGGAGAATCTGTCCAATAGAATAAGAAATAAATGATTACCAAATGAAATGTGCTTTCTCTTCAAAATGAAATAAATCATAGGTGATGTTTGGAAAAAAAAATAAAAATCTTTGAGTTTAACACTGTTAAGACTGTTGCATTTTTCTGACACTAAATACTGTAAAGCTATGTCCACTTGAGTAAGAACAGCATATTAAACCTGCAGCTGGAACTGTTGCAAGTCTGACATTTAATCTTGGTACTTTCCAATCTCTTTAAATACATTTCTTCCTTTATGGAAAGTCTTTATTTTCAGATTAAAAAAATGTATATTCTTTATTGCACACATCCAGGTAGATGCATAGCATATAAAGGCTGATATTTACTTCCAGAAGACTTTCATACATAGGTTTGTTTATATGCTTTGATTGTTTATTTACACAAACTTCATTTGGAGTGGGATTTTTGGATGGAGTGGGATTTTTGGATAGAGGGGCTTCAGTTCATGATTTTTCATTTAAAAAAAAAAATTAGAAGAGGCTGGGAATACTGATGCTTTTCAGATGATGATATTCTTGCACTGGAGAAATTCTTGAGCCAGAATTTAAGAAAGTTCAATTTTAGTTGTTGCTTGGCATTAAATTTTGCATATTACATAAAGCAGATTTCAGTGCCTGGGCAGAGATCTGCTTGCCAATTGCTTGGACTTGGGTGAAAACGAGTCTGACTGTCTATAAAGGGAGTGCTGTGTTGAAACTTGGCCTTTTTGCTATAGCATATTAGATCTTCTCAAGACAGCCTTAGTCTGATCCATGTCATTTTCATCTGCTGCTGTGCTGCTGTTCTGGTGTGAGGCAGTTGTTTCATCTTTCAGTTTTGATTCTCCCTCTTTCACTTATCCCCTTCATCTTCTCATAGAATCTTTCAACTAAAGAATACTTTCTGTACAGATGAATATAAGAAAAAAAAAAGATGACTAAATATATAATGCTTTTGAAGCATTTTAAGTGAACCTCAGTGTTTAGAAGTTTTGGCTATGACTCTTTCTCCTGCCTTTTCTCTCATATCTCCATTACATTGTGGTCTTTACGTCTTCTTTTGATGTAGTTACGCTGAACTAATCCTAAAATCGAAAGGGAAGTGAGGTGCAGTGCATCATTCTGTTGGCAGCAGTAGCCTGAAAGATGTTCATGCTCCAAGAGGAAAGCTTTTGTGATAAAGCACAAAGTGGGAGCATGGTTATTAGGTTGCTGAATGAGCTTTTGAATAAATGGCAGAAATAGGAGGCTGTGAATCGACATGGAATTCCCATGATGTCATTTCTAAAGCAAATCCAAATGAGAATTGGCCTTTCCTATGATGGTAGTGTATCAGTGTGCGTGGGGGTGGAAAGTGGATCGTGCTACTAAGAGCAGTCAATGAACAGGTAAATTTATTCATGTTTTCCACAATGGAGAAAAGTTCATTTGTAAAATCTCCAGCCATTTTATAACGAGGCAGGAGCAGACTACAAATCCACTGTAAAGCCTCTAGAGTTTCTTAATGGGAATGTAGTTCTGCTGCTGAGATCTTATATAAGCAAATGGAGCCAGATTTTTAATTCCTGCATAATTCATTTTATTAACTATGACCAAGGAGAACATCTGTTAAAATTCCATAATGTTCAGTTCATGGGAAAAAGAGAGAAACCCCTGAGTTCCCGTTGGAGCTTTTCCATTTCCATTAACGGTTCAGGACTCTAGCAGATGTCCTAAAGGACATTATTATGAGTGAGAGGACAACACAAAAGCAGAGGAAGTGCCTTGTCTGGTTTCACTGGGCACAGCAGCTCGCTGTGCAGTGAGCTACCTCACCCTCTGCCTGTCTGTGAGCAGGTCACAGCTTCGCACAAGCAGTGCCAGGGTTAACCCTAGTGTCCCTTCTGTTGTGAGTTACCACAGCCTGGAAGAACTGAGTGAGTCCTGAGTGGGTGTTCTGTGTGGTTTTAATCTAATTTGTCACTTTAAAAAATACTGCAGATGCACTGGGCCCTAGCCCAGAAGTAGATTCAAAAGGAGCTAAAATTACTATTAAACTCTTCCTTTTAAAGACAAAGGGGATGGAGGAAGACTGGCTTTTTGTAATTCACAGATGTCTTGAAAGGAGACTGAGAATCTTTTTCAAATACCAGTCTTTGCTGTGCAGGTAGCCCTGAGTAAGCTTGTCCTCTGTGTTGCCTGGTAGAATTTTCTGAGCCAGTTCAGGCTGTCTGCTGGTGGTGGCCTCCATTTAGGTAGAGGTGGTGAAACAACTTGACTGTGTTGTTTCAGAACTCGTCTCAGAGCTCTGAATTTGAAAGAAAGATACTGATAAATCTGAACCCACTCCTGTACAGTGTGCTGTTTTCCTTAGTTTCAGTAAGACAGCCGAGTCACTACTTTTGAGAGTTCTAGTTTAAGTTAGGACAGTTGTGGGTTAATTTGAGGTGTTTCTTTTTGTTGGTTGGTTTGTTTTGATGGTTGGTTTTTGTGGTGTTTTCCCTTCAGTGTATGCAAGTCAGAGCCCTAAGTGGATAAAGGCAGCTACTGCTGTCTTGGGAGGGAGAGAGCACTCCGTGTGATATTAATTCTGGGGAGGAGAAGGACAGCCAGTTCAAAGTATGCTGTTGCATTAGTGTGACAAGCAGGCAACAGATTCAGGCTCTTCCCAATCTCAGAAAGCTGCAGCAGTAACGTTTCCTGAGGAGGAGGTACCGTGTGTGTACTGCAGCACTAGTGCCCTGTTACAATGTGTGTAGGAAAAGGGATGTGGAGGATGTGCAGTGCAGCCTGTGCAGATGAGAGAGCTAGCTGGAAAAAGGTACCAAAAAACCCCACCTGTTGTTAAATGACTTACTACCCAAGAGTGGGAATCCAAAGCAACTGGCAGTAAAATGGCACACCTGCTGCATTTTCCTAAATTTGAAGGGTCAGCGAACAAAAGATGCTGAGAAGGGTTTGTATAAAAATGTGAAACCCAGCTGAGAGATGTTGACTGAGGGAGGGAGGGGATTTCTGAGGGCTGAGCTCTACAGGGAACAGTCTGCAAACAGGGAGCCCAGTCTGTTTATCCACTAGAGGTAGTGTTACATGCTTTTCTTTTGTTAGGACAGCTTTATATAAATATCCTGTTCTCCTAGCTGTTAGATTTTTTTGTTAAGTTTATCTCTGTTGCTGTAGGACAGAAAGAATGTTATTAATACGTTCTTTTACTTGCACAATTAAAACTTTGATCTTTGATCATTCTCTGTGTATTACAGAGCAGATGTCGATAGAAACAGGCAAA